GGGGGGGGGGGGGGGGTTGCTTCTTGAGAAAATTGTTTTGTTGCATCTCGGCAGTCAGGGCTGTTCTTAAGTAGTGACTAGTGACGGCGAAGAAGTTTTGAAAAGATAAAGAATGGATGATTTGTACAAAACTATCATCTCGTGATTTTTTAAGCGCAACATGCATTTATTTTGTTTGGTACCCCCCTCCCCCCCTCGAAATCCAAAACTGCCTTACTTAGTCTTCCTCTACTGTCCTATTCAACTTTGTAGTATTGTCTTTTCTGTCTATCATCCAACCCTAAAAGTGCGAAAAATGTAACTGCTGGAAAGTGCAAATGTGTCTTGTATTTATTGTAATTTTGACATGGTACTATTTAGTACACATTGGTTGTGCATAATTTGAAATTTTTCACACATCTTTTGTGTCATATATATATACATGTGAGGCATCGTGGTAAAATCTGGCGCTGGTCAAAATAATGAAATCGAAGAAAATGGCGTTTTTCTGTCTTGGGAGTTTTTATCAAATTTTTGTGGGTTTTTTTGGCTCAACACGTTTTGCCATTTTCTCGCTAATTTTACCTCTGAAACCAGGCGACCCCCACCTCTTACAATAACAAATATCTCAACTTCTATTCATGATATACAACGGTTGTTGTTTTTTTCCCACCAAAAGCAAGACAAATTAAATGATTATGCTTTAAAATGATGCCAATAACTCCACCTGTCCAAAAATTGACGAGCGCCTGATTCCACCGCGTCGTGACTCATAAGTTTTATCTGTTCAAGTTTCCCAAATTTGTGTAATTGTTACTACTGAGTACTTTTAACATGTCGCATATTTATACTATTTTTATATAATACAAATGTTTTTCCTCCTCCTTTCTTCGTTTCTCTCTTTCTCTTCTTCTTCTTTCCTCTCCACATTTTTATGTCTTGTCTCCTTCTCCCTGTCAATATGAGCCCTGTTCGTTCTTAAATTTCTTCTACTGCTACCGGTAATCGTACCGTACTCATTCATAGTGTTTCTAGTCTTTGTGCATTGCCTGTCAATTTGTTGATATTGATAGTGAGAGTTGTGACTATACGCTACTGTTTGGAATGTACATTATTAGTATTTTATTATGCAGTGTTTGCGAACTACAAGTAATGGCATTTTGATCTCTCTTTCTCTCTCTCTTTCCCTCTCTCTCTTTCTTTTTGCCTTCCTTCCTCTCTCTCTCTCTCCCTCTCTCTCTTTCTTTTTGTCTTCCTTCCTCCCTCCCTCTCTCTCTCTCTCTCTC